GAGAATTTAAGGGTCTTCTGGTATATGAAGCTTTATAATTCCTTAAAGTCTACTTAAGTCTTTGACACATCTGGTTGAGCCAGGCACAGATTCCTCAGGGAATTAGTTGTGGAAATAACAGCAACACTCTTCTTTAAGCCAGAGGCTATTAAGCCTTTGCATTCAAAATGGGTTCAATCATTAATTGTGCATAATTAACAGTAAATAACTGAGTCACCAAATGAATAGTGTTTAAGAAAAGCTATTATTTCCTACTGATAAGCAACTAAAATAATTGTTATCTTCAAAGTCTACCCAGTACGTTTGAGCTTAAAGGCCCAATTTGATTCTCTAAGGAACATAGTAATTGCTGAGCCAAGTTATGTAAGTTATTGCCAACTATTTACAGATGTAGTTTATGTCTGTAACAGACTAACCAAACTAGAAACCAAATAAATAAATAAATAAATAAATAAAATAAATAAAAAAATAAAAAAGAAAGAAAATGAGAAAAAAAGAGGGCGATTTGTATTTTGTTCTTGATACTTATAATAACTAGACTGGAAGACAATGAGGTTTCCTTAATTTCCTTAATAGGGAAGGATAATGGTTTTACTTCAGATAATTAATGGTCTTAGCAAAATTAAAAGTAATTTCTAGCAACTTTTTTGATCAAAAAGCTGTGCCTGCAATTTAAGGGTTCTGATCTCTTAACACTTCCCCTGGGTTTTTCTCAGGAGTCTAATACAGAAAGTGAAAAAGTCCTATAATCTAAAAGGCCTTATATCTGACCCTAATGTAGTCTTGCTTTAAAATGGTTTTCACTTTGTTACAAAACACACTTGAACTTTGGGCACTTGAGTTTGACATGGCTAATTTGGCCTAACAAAGATATTGAGCTGTGGGCCACTCCCACCCCCAACACACAAAATTAGTACACTCTGAACCATTTTCTAGATGAAGGAAACAAGTTAATTTGGCTCTCTGCCAAGGCAGCATAAAACAGTATTCAATTTCAGTTCCCAAGGATATCTGAGTTTTTTCTACCTATACCTTGGGTGGCTTTGTGTTTTATTATATGGTTTTGCTCAGAAAATTCAATAAATTGGTCACTTTAATTCTCATATTCTTATCTATTTTATAGCAGGCTTTTCTGGGTTAATTATTTCCTGAGCCAATTCATGACTTGGACTATCCTTAAATTACATTTCCAAGAAAAATGGTTTTCTTTCTTTCTTTTTTGAAGCTGTGGGATGCTGCGTTTGGTATACCAAAGGATAAGCATAGCTGGGAACTATAGCAACAACTCACAGTGTCTGACCCATTTAAGTAGATGAGTTTGTAGTAGAATGAAGGAGAAGGTGCTATAGAAGCAACGCAAATAATATGAATCAAAAACATCTTTGCTTTTGTAATCATGTGGTTGGTATCACTATTCTTATGTCTCTAGTCTTGTTGCTTTATCTGCTATAAAACAAATATTCCAATGAATGCTGGCCCTCATTTCCATTGCCAACTGACTTATGAATAAATAGAAGCCATTCAGATCCTGTAGCTGTCATTTTATCAATTTTTCTCCCTATGGGAAGTGATACTTCTTATACTGTTATGCTCCTCAACTCTTCCAGAGTTACAATGAAATAACTACAAACAATAGAGGACTTTATTATGATATAAAAATTCATGATGGCTCTGTATCAGTTTAGAGAAAAGGTTTTCCATTTTGGAAAGTGGGTGAAAACTAAGCACTCATCTCATTGGAACATATTACCTAAAAAGAAAAAAATGCTATATTACCTTGTTAGGTAGTTGTTTGATTTGATTTTTAATGTTTGGGTCAACAGTTTACAGTATCACCAGTCCAATTTTCTAAAGTTCTGAACATAATTATAGCTTAGTATTTCTTTTATGATTTTTCTTCCTGTTACTTTTAGGACTTCTACAAAAAAAAAAGAAAAAAGAAAACCTCTAAAAATTGACCATTCTTTATACTAGCACAAAAGAAATATAAATATTGGCATTTTTATATCTTTGTTAGAGCTAATTAATAATAAGGATGATGACAATAGCAGTCAATTGACGTTATGTTCCAGGCATTGTACTAAGTTCATTTGATCCTCCTGGCAACTTTATAAGATAAACACTATTATTATCTCTGTTTCACTGAGGAGAGAAAAGTACTATTATCCTTATGTTACTGATGAAACCAGTGCTCAGAGAGGTAAAACATTTTGCCCAAAGTAAAAAGTGGCAGATACAGAACTTAAATCTGAGTCGGTTCAGTGCCAAAGCTTGTGCTCATAATGTCTACATTGTAGACAGAACAGATGAACAAAATATTTGCCCTATCTGAATGAAGAGTCCTATTTTCAAACAAAATATTGGAACCCATAGTCTAAATATTGGAACCCATAGTCTAAAGAAAAAACTTTCTGTTTTAAAATTTTATTTATATGAAACCTTTCATTTTTAATTTTTAAAAAAAATTTTTTTTTAATGTTTTATTTATTTCTAGGAGAGAGAGAGAGAGACAGCGTGAGCAGGGGAGGGTCAGAGAGAGAGGGAGTCACAGACTGAAACAGGCTCCAGGCTCCGAGCTGGCAGCACAGGGCCCGACGCGGGGCTCGAACCCACAAACCGCGAGATCATGACCCAAGCGAAAGTCGGACGCTTAACCGACTAAGCCACCCAGGCGCCCGTCATTTTTAATTTTTTTAAGTTTATTATTTTGAGGGGAGGGAGAGACAGAGAAAGAGTGGCAGAAGGGCAGAGAGAGAGAGAGAGAGAGAGAGAGAGGGAGAGAATTCCAAGCAGGCTCTACACTGTCAGCACAGAGCCCAATGTGGGGCTCAATCTCACAAATCATGAGATCTTCACCGGAGATGAAATCAAGAGTTGGACACTTAACCAACTGAGCCTCCCAGGTGCCCCAATTTATATGAAACCTTTTATAAAAGCATAAATATCAGCTAGACATTTAGCTGAACATTCAACAACTTTTCTTATACAGTATAAACTTCAAAAGAAACTGGGAACATAAGGGAAAATGGAGATTTGATCTATATCTATAGGTGACTATGATTAACCAAAGTGATCAGCCTTAAAGTGTGCCTTTAAAAATAATTTTAGATGAAAAACCCCTTTAATATTAAGTTCGTGAACACATTTACAACCTCTCGTATTCTGAAGAAACCAAACTAGTAAATTGTAGCTCTCAGATCATAAACCCAAAATAACCAATTTCTTAACAGTTATTTACCTTCTTGTCTTAAAATGTTCTGGGAGGTGGTATAAGTGTGCGTGTGCGTGCGTGTGCGTGTGTGTGTATTCTTCACAGCAGGGAGAGAGATTTATCCTGGAAATATAACGGTTCCCAGAAGTCTGTCTTTTAAGAGGGAAGGAAGGAAGGAATGAATGAACGAATGAACAAATGAACAAATGAAGGAAGGAGAAAAGAAAGGAGAGAGATAAAATAAAGGAAGGAGGGAGGAAGGAAGAAAGTTGAAGTATGGTGACAGGTATGTGTCTCTAAGGCAAGAATGATGTCATTCCATTTGGAGTTTATTGACACAAAATTTCCTTTTGAGAAATTTTTCAGCAATGTGAATATGGTTTTAATTAAGAGATACACTGATCTCTTGTTGATTTTGTTACAAGAGAGGAAATGCTGTAGCTTCTCTGTGCCTTACTGTGTAGATCACAGTGAAAACATACAAAGGACCTGGCGATGCATTGAACTGTATCTGTTGTACTTTACATCCTTTTCCTTGTGCCACTGACATCATGGTTTGGAAAATTCTGCAGGATTATTATATTTTGATGTATAAAAATTCTGGATTAACAATTTATTTTCTCTAAGAAGGAGGCCATACTGTGTTAAATGACATTACAAATGAATATTCTTACCTTTACCTGTGGGTTAAATTTTTGAATATTATTTTAAGACATGAGGAAATGTCCCCTGACTTTAGGGAAGCCACACATAAATGCCATTTCCTCTAAGGACCTTTGGAAGTTTATTTGTTCACAGATTTATTGCATATTCTCTGGAACGATATGGTCTGAAATATAAATGGTCGTCTCAAAATCCGAAACATGATACGGACATGGGAATCTTTATATACTTGAGTCTATTTTCAAATGATACCTGGTAAAACATTAAACTACAGTAGTGTCGTGGGGCAAACAACAAGCACTTTACTTCAAAAACCCTGACCGCCTTAGCCCCGCCCCCTGCAGCAGGTAATCCCCAGGGTTTCCGCTCACCTTCTCCACCTCCCCCCACCCATCTTACCTGGAAAACAGGAGCCGAATAAAGAAGTCTAAAACGCAACTTCTATATTTAAAGAATAAGAAAGAGTCCTGCGGCGCCTGGGTGGCTTAGTCGGTTAAGTGTCCGACTTTCGCTTAGGTCATGATCTCGCGGTTCGTGGGTTCGAGCCCCGCGTCGGGCTCTGTGCTGACTGCCAGCTCAGAGCCTGGAGCCTGCTTCAGTCTGTGACTCCCTCTCTCTCTGACCCTCCCCTGCTCACGCTGTCTCTCTCTCTCTCTCTCTCCTAGAAATAAATAAAACATTTAAAAAAAAAAGAAAGAGTCCTAAGAAACTGTAAACTGTGCCCTCAGTTGACTTGGAGATTAACGGGAATGCAGAACAAACAAACAAAAGAAAAACAAAAAAGTAGGTCTGAAAAGTGTGTGGGAAATTTCCTGCACCCGGGATCTGCGGCCATTTGTGAACTCTCTACACGCCGCTGACGGGAAAAAAAAAGTGAAAACTTGAAATACTACTAACTGAAGCACAGCTGTTGCCCTAAATACTCGCAGGCTCCTCTCGCTTCCCGGAGTTTCGGGGTCACACGCGGCCACAGGCCCGGCGGGGCGAGACGCGGGGCCGCTCGCGGGGCGACGACGCCGGCGTCTCCACCGCGCGGCTCCCGAGCCCCAGGGCGCCGGCCGCGCAGCGGGAGGCCCCGAGGCGCCCGAGCCCGAGCGCGGGACCCGGTGGCCGCGGGAGGCGGCGCGCACGGCGGCCAGAGGGGCTGCTGCCCGCGCCGGCGGCCCCGCGCTCGCTCTCTCCGGCCGCCCTCCCGCCGCGGGAGGAGCCGCCGGCCGCCGTGACGCGTCAGGGAGGAAACGGCGGCGCCGGCGGCCCTGTGGGGAAGGAGGAAGCGCGCGGGTGCGAGGAGGCAGCGCCGCGCCGACCGGGGTAGGTGCGGGGCCGCCGGGGGCGGGGGGGCGGCCGCAGGGACGCGCGTCCGGGCGCAGTCGGGGCCCCCCCGCGCGGGCGCGACGGGGCGGGGCGCGCGGGGCCCGGGCCTCGGAGCAAGTTCCGACCCCCTCAGCCCGCACACCTCCGGGTTGGCCCGAGGGGAGCAGCGGTGCCCCGCCGGCGCCGCGCCCTCAGGGTTCGGGGCGCTTCCTCGAGGGGAATTCGGCCACACTGTGACCCCGGAGCGGCCGAGCCTGGGCGGCGGACGGACGCGGGCCCCCCGTGCGGGCCTCGCGGCGAGGAGGCGCCGGGCCCCTGAGGGCGCAGACCCGGCCTGGGGTCGGAAGAGCGTGCGGGCCACCTGGACGCGCCGCGTGCGGAGGGCGCGGGCGTCCCCGAGCTGGGGTCGGCGACTGTCGCCTCACACCGCTGCGCCCCCGCCCCTAGCGTCTCTGTGGTTTACACCCTTCCCCTCTTCTGAAGGGAGTTTGGCCCCGTTGGCTCCCGTGGCGCCGGCACTCACGCGCGCCGTCCAGAGCGCGACTCCCCGGCCTCGCGCCGTCCGCGGAGGCGCGTTGCGAAGGGGGGGGGGGGGGGGGGGGGGGGGGGGGCGGGGAGGAGCGTTCGTCCCTCCTCCTCATTTAATTTTGCCCGGTGATTTCTGAGCCGTAAGTTGAACTTCGGTTCTGCGCCGAGAGCCCATCTATTTGAGCTGCAGGCACACTCGAGATGCAAGGGTCAACGCAGACCACCATCGTTCCTAAATCTTTACTTACAAATACTAGACTTGTGTGTGTTTTGATTCTCGACTGTGTCTCTAGGTTGAGGATTTACCCAACCAGTCTGGGGAGTGACTTATGTATTTAACAAACACAAACGGCTCTCGCTATATGCTTGGGCTCCTTCTAAGTGTTTTATAAATATTAACTCAGATTGTTAACTAAAAATATTAAAGTATAGCGGTTCTAGCAGTGAAGAGGCTGTGGACACCTCAGTTCCCCAAATGTCATTGCAAGGACTAGAAAGATTTGAGGAAGTTTCAGGCATATTTTAGGACTGGGTGTGCCTTCTGCTGCACTTGGCTACCACTCCTTTAAGACAAGCCACCACCCTACACTCCCTGGGGGAAGGGAGTCTGAGCTCTGGGAACAGACCTCTACCTTTCCGACCTCTGCCAGATCCCTACTGTCTCCTATAAGATGGTCTTTCTCACCCACCATACTGTCCATCATTATTACCTAACTCTGCAAAGACCAGAACTTCCCCCTTTTTACAACTGCCACCACATTGAGCCTAATTTTGTTTTCAAAAGGAGCTTTGTTTATAATCTGTTTGACAATTGACGAAACCATAGTTGAGTGAGATGTATTATAAAATAATAGGTTTCGGTGTGTACACATCAACATAACAAATAATGCTCTGTGATTTTATTGCCATTTGCTCTTGGTAATGTTGAGTTGATGCGTCAACCTGGTAGATGCCCATTTTGCGATTTGCAGACATCTAGAGAGAGTATTTTTCTTGAATAAAGTACCCCTTTCAAATGAGTCTTTGGCCTGATAGATTGGTACAGACCCAAAATGGTGAATCATGGGTTTTGTCATTTTGGTGATTATCAATTTGATGTCAAAATCTGTGTGTCATACTAGCTTTCTCTCTTTGTAGCCTTTTCTCTCTCATTTAAATTTCCAGAGAGATGATTAAACGAGACTCTAAGCCTTATTGAATAGGCTTACGAAGTATCTCCTGGAAGTAGGAAGGCTCACTTTCCTCTGATATAATTCATGGTACAGCAGACAGTGGCGTTTCACTGCATTTAGTTCAGTGAAATGACAGCTAATACTTTCCTGGATTATAGAGTACTTCCGGATATATTTGTGAAGTTGGCAGCCATTTTTCTTTAAAAAGTTTATTTATTTATTTTGAGAGAGAGAGAGCGCGAAGGAGAGAGAGTGCCAAGCAGGATCTGCACTGTCCGCACAGAGTCATTGGAGGCCTTGAAGTCACCAACTGTGAGATCATGACCTGAGCTGAAACTAAGAGTCGGATGCTTAACCAACTGAGCCATTGAGGCGCCCCGGCAGCCATTTTTTATTCTTGCTTTTACAGATAAGGAAACTGAGGCAGAGAAATGTTAAAATGCTTTAACCAGTATTGTATATAGTTGGTAGGAGACAGCTTGAATAGGGAGCAGGTGTGTGGACAGAGCCTGGCATGTGCCAGCGTGTAATAAACAATGTGGAATGAATGACTCCAAATGACTTCGGATTTCTTGCTCTTTCCAAACATTATGCCTCTCAACTACTGTAACTGATTTGTGCCTAAGAGATTTCCAGGCCTATACCAATATCTCTCAGTTATTTCAAACAGTATCTGATACAATAAATGTCTTGTCTACAAAAAGAGATGAGACTGCTTTTTGGATTCATTTCTGGCTTTTGAAAAAGCAACTAGGTTGGTTATTTGTTTTCCTTCTCAAACATCTTACTTTTTTCTTCTGATTTGGAGATAGTTTAGATTAGACATATGGCTTAATTCTTTGTGGTGATAGCTTCCTTATCTCTCCCTGCTCTTTTAAGGTCATTTTTAAGGACTACAAATCACTGCAGGTTTTCAACGTTAGTGAACTCAATTAAGCTACTCAGATTCAAACATAATGATCATAGGTATCATCTTTTTTTTTTTTTTTTGAAGATCTGACACTACTGAATTTTTTAATGTTTTTATTTATTTCTAGGAGAGAGAGAGACAGCGTGAGCAGGGGAGGGTCAGAGAGAGAGGGAGTCACAGACTGATATAGGCTCCAGGCTCTGAGCTGGCAGTCAGCACAGAATCCGAGGCGGGGCTCGAACCCATGGACCGCGAGATCATGACCTGAGCGAAAGTCGGACGCTTAACTCACTAAGCCACCCAGGCGCCCCCTACTACTGAATTTTTTGAAATGTTGCAAGTCCTTTAGTATAAAGGATCTTAAAAAAATTTGTTTTTTAATGTTTATTTATTTTTGAGAGAGAGTGTGAGGAAGGGGCAGAGAGAGAGAGGGAGACACAGAATCTGAAGCAGGCTCCTAGCACAGATTGGGGCTCTAACTCACAACTCACAAACTGTGAGATCATGACCTGAGCCAAAGTCAGACTGTTAACCGACTGAGCTACCCAGGCGCCCCAAGGATTTTTCTTTTAAACAAACCAACCAAAAAACCCCTCAACTATTTATATCCTAACAGCATAATCACTGAATCCTAAAGTATGTGACCTCCAGATAGATAACCTTCAATTAGAGAGGAATATATGGCCATTACCTGGGGTGGAGGGAGGAATTGAAAAGGGTATCACGGAAAAAAGAGAGATGGGGTGGCCTTTCCCATGAGGGATATAAGGTGGTAAGAAGCTCTTAATGAAGCCAGACTGAGTCATCTGCCTGTCAACATTCTTCTGTGTGGGGGTGGAATAAAACACTTTTGAAACCTGCCTTGTTTCAGAAACCACTTTACCTTTTCTGATCTTCATGTGTTTTTTTTCCCCTCTCTTTTTAATTCATGTAAATTTCTAAAGTGCTGATTCATGAAACTTAAATTATGTAACATGTTATTCCTGACAGAACAGCTCCCACATTATTTTAAGGGAGTCAATGCTTCTGTTTTTCTTTACCTATTCGATTCCCTATGGTGGCATCTTTGTTCTCATTTCACTTTTTTTTTTTGCCTATTTCATGGAGAAAAGTAAATCAAAGAGGTGCCGACTCATGTCAGAGTAATTTTTTTTTTATATTTTTATTTATTTCTAGGAGAGAGAGAGACAGTGTGAGCAGGGGAGGGTCAGAGAGAGAGGGAGTCACAGACTGAAACAGGCTCCAGGCTCTGAGCTGGCAGTCAGCGCAGAGCCCGACGCGGGGCTCGAACCCACGAACCGCGAGATCATGACCCAAGCGAAAGTCGGACGCTTAACCGACTAAGCCACCCAGGCGCCCCTCATGTCAGAGTAATTTTAACTCGGTACTAACTTTGAGTTAATGGTCTTGCTGAGGAAGACAACATGGAAATCAAATGATGAAGGCCAATTCAGAGCATCAATAAATAAAATTTTATCACCTGTACGAAGCTGAGCCGGGGGCTTTCAAAGGGAGTTGGGGCGGCGTACGGTACCCTTGCCCTTGTCTCCCAGGGCCGCTCCTGTCCGCCACATGGCCTACGACACCTGTCCTGGGCCGTCTCCTTGTAGTCGGCATGTCTTCATTACTCAAGACCAAAGTCTGTTTTCCCCGGGTGGGGGTGGGGGGAGTGAAAGGACCGTGGGGGGTGATGGTATCAAGGGACGAGGGTAGAAGATTGATAATACGTAAGATGGAAGGGAGGAGATGTGTGGGTGAAGTAAGATATTTAGTGCACTCGTGGTGGGTCCGTGCCGGCACCTCACTGGGGCCATCAATATAGGGAAGACCTACATGGGGTCAAAGAATGTCTGGAAAGGATGAAAAACATCTATGACATTGTATGATATTGGCAGGCAGAGCTCCTTTTTACCACCAAATGCAGAAGTATCGTTATAGGTAGCTGTTTCTTCGGGCTACGTTAGGAATTTATCTGCAATTATCTGCAATTTATCTGTAATTAAAATGTAGAGGGCTGATTTAGTGGCTTTTAACTTGACAGTAAGAGTGATTTGATAGACCTTTGCTGAGTAAAAGCTTGGATTTTGTACCTTTTTATTTTTATTATTTTTTTTTTAATATTTTATTTATTTCTAGGAGAGAGAGAGAGAGACACAGTGTGAGGAGGGGAGGGGCAGAGAGAGAGGGAGTCACAGACTGAAACAGGCTCCAGGCTCTGAGCTGGCAGTCAGCACAGAGCCCGACACGGGGCTCGAACCCACGAACCGTGAGATCATGACCTAAGTGAAAGTCGGACGCTTAACCAACTAAGCCACCCAGGTGCCCCGATTTTGTACCTTTTTAAAAGCTTACTTTTTTTGGAGAATGCCTGTAACTTTGAGATGATG